CATCTTTAAAAAAAATCGTAACTGAAAAAGCAGTGAATATTATGTTATATATATTGGATTAGCTAAAATAAGCAGGTGGTAAAAATTCACAAAGTGTAGATAAGAAAATTTAAAAATGTGGTGCTATGTATGATGTAAAAATGAAAAAAAAAAAAAAAAAAACTAGTATGAACACAATCGAAAAAGCTTAATTAGACCATCCATCAAAAGCGCTGAACGCAGACGGGACCTCTCTTGCTTCGACTTCAAGAGAAAACTCCATTAAGCTGCGATGAATGAGTTCTTGCTAAGTAGCGTTTCTGAAGAAGTTAAGGAATAGTTAACCTCATGGGTCGCTGATATCGATTGTACAGAAAAGTATACACATGAGATGTCTCGAAGTGTTAAATTTACTAAGGATTAATGAATTACGTGGGGGGTATTTGAGTAAAATTTAAGAAAAACAAGAGCTTAATGTAGATGGAAGTATAGCTGTCATTAAAATTTCGCCGCCGTTATTATTCGTTAAATGTTCCTATAAAAAGTAACTTTGCTAATTAATGTTTGCCGATATGCTTACGTGCTCAAAATAAGAGGTTTCTAATCTTTTGTGCTATATTTCTGCAGCTAATTATGTATTCCAATCCATAATCCTCTCAGCGAATATTAGTCTCACATGTTAACATTTTTCGTAGTTTTAACATTTGAATGAATAAATTAATATCTAAATCATCTAGTGTAAAATATATTGAAAGAAAAATAAATTTAATTCGAACTTAAAGTTCGTACTGGAAAAATATTTTTTAAGATAAGTAAAATTGGTACTATATCTAAACTCTGAAAGAGCGATAAGATAAACAAATATTTGCAATAGTTATATAAAATAATAATCTAACGAATAAAAATTGAATTAAGTATTTGTCTCTTAAGTTATTAAAGTTATTTAATTCATTCTTTTCAAATTTATCATAAATAGGGATTAAACACGCCTGCAAAGTTATTCGGCTGCCAAGGATAAGTATTTGAAAAAAATATTAAAGGATTAGTATTTTTATATTATTTATTCTAAACTGTTCAACTATCAAATATATACATTTGGGAACTACACAGAAAACGTTTTTCTGTACTAGTAATGTAAAATATGTATAAAATGTGTATTTTACATCACCAGTATCGAAAACAAAAATACTTATTTTTGAAATAAAATGTAAATTTATTTTTCTAATGTTACCAGAAAACGATTTATTACTATCCTACGATTTTTGTTACAAAATAACTGCCTAAAGAAAATGAGTGTTTTTAACGATTTTCAGCTTTTAATTCAAACAGATAAATATGTTTAAACATTAACACGATAGCAGTCATAGTTTTGTCTTCTCCGTTTGAAAACATTTTGATAGAATGTTTTGAATGCCATATAGAGTTTAATCTAATTATATAGAATTATTATATCTAATTATAGAACGATTAATGTTTTATATAAAGTAGTTAATTTTCTGAGTTTCGTACTCTAGTTATCTAGAAAAAAAAATTAAATTTAAAGATGTGTTGAGTATATTTAACTTGAACCTTACTGTTAAACTGTCTCATAAAACACTGATCAACTGATGACGAACAACTAAATTAAAATAAACTCGCATAGTCTCTGAGATCCAGAAACTTGTGATTGAAGATAAACTAAAGTATATAAATTATCTAATTTGTAAAGTAAATTATGTTACTTTAAACCTCAAACTCTCAATATCTTTTAGTGTTATGTCAATATCTTTACATTGAAATTAGATAATATCCTTTGTGCTGTTTGGATATAAAATCAAAAAGATTATGTTTCAATAAAATGTGAAAATGCAATTCATTTTCAAATTTTACAAGTAATATCGCTCTTTAAAACATGCTATATCCTCTGACATTCCTGAACACGTAAATCTCAGCTCAAGAAATCCTAAACTCTAGAGATAGCCACAAAATAATTTCATTCAAATACAAATGCATAACACCTCAAAACACCAAGGAGGGATAATTCACACAAGTAAGAATTCAATCACTAGTTGAAATAAAACAATGAATACAACAGTATAGTTCAAATACACATAAATATTTTTAAAATTTGCAATTACACCTCTATAAGTTACCCATGTTCGTTTTGGAAGATCCATATTTTCCTTAAGAAGTACGTGGGGAACATGAATAGACTACTAAAATAAACATAAGCAAAAATTACAACTAAAACACATTTATCAAGATATATTAAGATAGTTGGCCAGACTAAACCTACATCACTTGGATAAATTACATTTAAAATCATTTCAATTACAAAAAAAATTAAATAGCATTTCTACCAATTAACTAAGATAAATTAAAATGACAATAACTAGATAAAACAATGGTATTAGAAAATAGTGGAAAGAAAACTCACATAAGGACTCCATTGCAAATATCGCACTTGATAAACCTCACCAGAGTCAAATGTATATCAGTCACTGCAGGAGAGTGTACAGCTGCTTGTTGCCCAGTCCAAATCAAATATTCTTCACTATCTGTTCTCTTAAGCGAAGTTATCTTTACGTCCATCGGAATCTGAATGAAGGAATGCAGTTGCCTGTTGCACTGTCCAAATCGAATATTCTTCATCGTGATTATCTTGTTATGGACACCCTGAATCTTGATTTAAATGTATATCTCAGCAGTCAGGAATGTCACGAAAAATCCGAAATTTCAAACAATTCTCAGATATCTTTTCGGGAAAAACAAAAGGAGCTCATCGTTTCGGCTACGGAAACATTGTCACTCTTTAATTATTCTTATGCGACTTTTCATACGTGACCGGGACGGCTGTGAAGAAACAAGTCAATCAAATTCGTTTTCGCCAGGAAAATCAGACTCACAGACCGCGGTCGGCCCGAGGGATTTGGTCGAAATCTTATTTCTGTCTCTTTCTCTGTGGCTCTCCCCCTTTTTTTTTCTGTAATTTTCAATAAGGTGAAAAAAAATCCCTCCTGCGTCTCGTGATACAACTTTTAAAACCTCAGTATCTCTAAAATAAGGACCGCCTCTAAATTCGTTATTGGCTCAAATTAAGTATAACTTAATATCTATTCAATAAAATACGCATCTTGAATCTTAAATTCTCTTCAATCAACGAGAAAAGTGTAATAATTGATCACCAATTTTCCAAGAAAAATCTAACCCCCTTTTAAATGTGACATATCTTGTTCTCGCGCTAAACTTCTTAGAATGTTTCCAACCGTAATTCTGTCAAAGATGGGACTACGGCATTGATAAAGAAACCAAAACGTTTTCCACTTCAGACGAAACCGATATTTTTTCGTATCGAACAAGCAAAGCACGTGTACAGTTTAGAAAGTTAAGGAAGAGGGGAGTCGCAACTGTCCGCCAACCTTTGACCTTAAAGGGATTAAAGGAATAGTCTGTGAAGGAAAATTCCCCCGCCTTTCAGCTGTACAACCCCTTTTCTCCCGCTTTTTAAGAATGTAGTGGAGTAGAGAAAATTGGAATTTATTAAGTTTAATTATTTAAATTGGAATGTATTAAGTACATTAAGAATTAGTACACAAAAATTTACTTCATATATTCACTAAGCGCAAGATATTAATGCACAGCATTATCATAGATAGTATGATAGTGATGTATAGAATAGAGGAAAATAGTACCATACATAGTATGATAGTGCTAAGTATAGCATGGAGGAAAATTAACAACAGGTAAACTGTATTTAATACTTTACCAAATTAAAGATACTTTTTTCCTGTATGCTTTTAAAAACGTATTATGAGCAAAGACACATCATGGTAATTTAGGTATAGTTTATTTTATTTTATGTAAAATATATGATAATTTTATTTAACAGCTCTCTTCAGGGAGAAATAATTATGTTCATAATATATAGATTAATTTTGTTCTTATATTTTTTAAAGAAATCCGTTGAATAAATAACATCAAAATATTATTAATGATTCAACGTTTTGATTATAATAGTTTGTTGAATTAGCAATTAAAAGTAAGAAAAAAATTTTACAAGGAGTATTAATTAAATATACATCTATCTAAATATAAAATAAAATAAAATATTTCGACTTGTTTGAAATACAAAGAACAAAATTTTATATGATTTTATTCATATATAAAAATATATTTAATGTGAAGTATAGCTGAGATTTCCGATTTTTCACATAAAACGGATATTTAAATTAACATGAGATATAGAAAGGTTAAATGATCTTTACATATGGATATATTAAATAATTATTAGATAGTGTCAGTTTCTAATCGTTTGTTTACTGAGTAATCAGCATAAGAATACAAATCTGTACAGATTATTCATATAATAATACATAAATATAAAATTAAACATTATTTCCTTTGTAACATTTATTTGAAATATTTTTAAAAAATGCATGCTTTTATTTATATATAAAATATATTTCATGTGAAATATATTTGAATTTTTCTGTTTTATGACAGATAATCAGCATATAAATGATAAGATACTGAATATGTTATTGCAGTCTGGATTAATTAAAGAGACGTGAATACTAACTGGTCAGTTTAATTTTTGCTTTAAACCTTTGCAAAATTTTCTCTGAAGAGAAATAAGTTCTCCTTCTTTACTTGTATAGCTTTTAAGTAATTGTTTCTTCAAATCTGTATAGGAAAATACCAAATCGTTTTAGAGAATAGCGATTTTCTTTTCTTTAAAAAAATATCTATTGCCCAATAAATGCTTTTTGAAATTCTTAATGTCAAGTATTTGCAATATATATATTTTTTATTTCGTCACTAATGCATTTCTTGACTTATGTCCATTGGGCTACTAACATGAGAAATCCATGCAAAAACATGAAACCAATTCTTAAATGTCACGAATAAGGGTTAAAATGCATCCAACGTTCTTGACAGCTGGTGGCATTACACTGAAAACCTTTCCCATGGCCTTTAGAAATGTCATTTCCATTCTTTTGAAGTACGCTCTGACACGTGCTTTGTTGTATCGATTGTTTCAGGTAAGCCTTTGCCTGCTGTATCCTGGTGGAGGGACCGGACGGACGTCGTGGATCAATCATCAGAAATAGACTCCGAAAGAGGAATCGTCCGCAACGAACTGGTCATTGAAACCCTCAAGAGGGAGGACTTGCTGAGTTTGTACACCTGTCAAGCATCTAATACCAATCTTACATCTCCCGCAACAGCAACAGTTAACGTTAGACATCAGCTGTAAGTAAATCATGCTGTTCTGGAGATTATTTATTTCATACATTTTGACTTTGTGTATGATACAGTTTTTCTAGATTGCTCTGGTGCATCTGTTGTAAAAAATAGTAAGTACCAAAATTATGAGAATGGCTGGAGATGTTTGTCATTACAAGATTGAAAAATCCAAAGCATTTTGGGGAAATTTTCAATTTTCGGAATTTAAAAATCTTTTAACCAAATTTGCTAGAGATTCTCAACAATGTGCACATTAATAAATAATAAAAATTATTTTAATATTTCAAGGTGATAGACCATTGAGATATAGAAAATTGTAATACAGAATTTTCAAGATGTTGTTTTTAGTGAATCTGTATTGTCATTTTCCTTATATCTCACAACGGAAATGTATTTTTCATCAACTGCATTTAAAAGAGTGCTACACTAGAAAATATTATATGCGATTCCTAAGCTTTTCTTTTTTTTCCTGTATTTTCCTTACTTTAAGTTGTTGAAATTTCTAATATTCGGATGAGGCTTTGAAACATATTACGTTTTATTAAACCTTTATAGAAAATTTTATTTTAGATTTCATTATTAAGATGTTGAAAAGCTTCGCAAAATAAATATACTCTGAAGTATCGCAAATATACACTCATGTCCATAAATTAAGGATAATGCAAAATCAGGCAAAGGAAGAGTTAGAAGTAAAACAAATCTGACTTATTTGTAAAGCTTATTTATTAAACAAAAGGTAAAGAGCAAAAAGATGCTATATGTTTGATATTATTAAAAAAAATTAGCGATTTTTTTTCTCCCTGGAGCAAATTACAAAAAAAAAAAAAAAAAAAAAAAAAAACTTATTTACAAAAAACCAATATTACATGGTTGGTTGATTGTTAATACATTGTATGTCTCCCAGACGATGCAATACAGTCCGTACAAACGCCTAGGCATCTGAGTATCAAATTATCGATCTGATCTTGGGGGATATTACATCACTCAAAAAGCAATGCACTCCGAAGTTCCGGTAGACATGTAGAAGGAGGTTGACGGGCTGCAACTCGTCGGCCAAGCATGTCCCACACGTGTTCTACTGGTTCAAGTCTGGTGAGAATGCTGGCCAGTCCATACGGGTGATATCCTCCGATTGAAGGCATTCGCTTACGATATTTGCACGGTGAGGACTGGGCGTTGTCATCCATAAAACAAATTGTGTGCCCATGGCACCCCGAAACAAATGTACATGTTGTTCCAGAATGACGTCCCGATAGATTTGGCTTGTCATGATTCCAATTTGAACATGAAGGTCAGTTCTGGAACCCAGAATAATTCCACCCCAAACGAGCACTCCTACACCACCGTAACGGTGTCGTTCAATGATGTTTTCTTGGTGGTAACGAATACCTGGAGCTCTCCATATGAAAGTCCGGCGAGAATCAGACTGCAAGCTAAACCTGGACTCGTCGGAAAACATCACACAAGCCCACTGTTGCGGTGTCCACAGTGCATGCTCTCTACTCCAGGCTAACCGCAGGCGACAGTGAGTTGCAGTAAGTGGAACGCATCTGACAGGTCTACGAACATATAAACCAATCTGCCCTAAGCGTCTGTACACGGGTCTGCCTTGAAATTGTCGTACCAGTGGCTGAAGAGAGCTGACGAGGCAGGTCTCAGGCTGTGCTCCACCTGTTTGTTTTGGCAGTAACTGCCAAATACCGGTCCTTATTCGGCGCTGTAACTCTGGGGCGACCTGTGCTGTAACGTCTACTCACATTACCATCATCTTGGGAATCGTTGCCAAAGCCTGGAGATGTCTGGCTGAGATCAATTCCAAGCTCTGGGCAATTCCAAGTTCGTCTGATACTTCCAGTTGGGTACGCCCACATTCCAGACGGCCGATAAATTCTACCACGTAAAAAATCATCCAAATGCGTCCTTTGTGTCATAACTATTCGTTATTGCACTGAAATGCTTATAAAGTGCCTGCGAACAATTTTACTTCTTTGCCTGTATTCGTTATATATCACTTTCTTACATTCTCGTCATTGTGAAGTACCATCGGTTCACTTCCTGAAAATTTGCATATGATTCTTGAAGATGTGTGTAGTGATTTTACAGGTGATATTTTAGTTATTTTAGAGTTCGATTTCCGCGTGACTCCGAAATTATCCTTAATTTATGGACATGAGTGTATTAAAAAAGTGCTGTTAATTTCATAAAAATAAAAAATAATCATTGAATCAAAATTAATCTAAAATATTATTTATATGAAATCAATTAGTTATTAAAGTAAGATGTTGAACAATTAATTAAATACTACAAGCACGCTGTATCAATTTTAATGTTCATAAATTCCACTTTCATTTTATATAATTTAGTAATACAAATTAATGCTAAGTTCAAAATATTTTTCAGTACCATATCTGGTTTGCTCTAATTTAAATAATACTAATTTTTGATAGGAATGATTTTTATCCATATCTTAATAATACTGTCGCGAGCTACGCTTCATGGGAGATCTCTTCAAATTTGTAGCAAGAAACTGACAACTTCGTACAGTTAATAACAATACACATCAAAACAACATCTGCAAATAATTCAAGGAGAAGGCAAAAGTAAGACAAATCCTCCGTAACACGCAAGAAATATTGAAGATTTTCTAGATCACTCATAGAGTAGACTCAGCTAACTCTTTGAAACACATTCTGAATTAACTGACTGCTGTGGCTTAAGTATTGCATCTTACACTGGCTTTTTCGGCTTTCTCGAAGCTCCGAGAAAAATCGCTCGATTTGCTTGAAAACAAATGTGTCTTCCGAATATTTCCCAAGCGTCACCAAATTGGCAAGAAATTTGGCAAAATTCTGTTAGGAAAATATTTCTCATATTTTCAGAATCTAGATGAGATAGTTTTATCACGTTGTTGGATCCCGAATCGCAAGATCTACAATTCTATACTAGAATTAAACACTTATATACAAAATATGTGATTAAACTTCAATTACACGAAACTACATTCTGAAGGTAATTTGTAAAGGGCAATAATTCAAGAAATAAATAGGTAAAAATAATGCATAATATTAAAACAATATACAAAAACAGGAAATGAATTAAACGGGCTGATCTACAGAAATGTATAGCAATATTTTATTTTTATTAACCGATGAAAATTTACCTTTAAAAACGTTTGCTACAATTACATCGGGCATCATCATGATACAATAAATCTTTATAAAATTATTAATATTGGACTCACTTAGGCAAAAATGTCGAGCTATTCGAGCTCATTAATCTGTACAATAATGCATTAAAAAATAAGAGCTTTATGAGTAAAATTTATAGAGAATAATATAAAGAAAAGTATAACTATACCTTTTGCAGATGTAATCATGTAATTTGCTAAACCGCAATACGTCAGCATTAACTCAATTGAATTGCAGCTACAAAACGCTCTCTTTTAAGTGTTGAAATGCGAAATGCAGTTTTAAGTTTTGCTACCGTAAATACAGAAATGCATGGGTCAACTATTTTACATACTTGTATCGCTACGTCTCAGGGGAGGAAAGTTAAGTGTAATTTTAATAAATGAGGATTCGGGCCATTAAGTAAAGCTCCAACTTTTAGATAAAGCGAATTCCCTTGACTATTAATTCTATCCCTGTGGCTAAAGTCTAATGTAGTACTACTCGTTCCCTTTCAGTAAACAGCATGTATGACACGGTATTAAATTGCACGGTAATCACAAAACTTTCCTGAAGTATTTATTCCAATAAAGCATTGTTATCTGAGTTAAATTGACTAGATGTGAAATATAAGGGTTTTAAAATGACTATTGAAATTGAAATGATAATTATTTCAGTTTTATATACATTATTAGTATATTTATATATTCATTATATGGTTGTAGTACATTTATTAAAAGAGAGTACTCAACGTATCAGGTATTTCTCCCACTTCCCTAGCGTGCCTTCGTGGTGTAACGGTAGCACGCTGGGCCGGTATTCCAGAGGTCCATGGTTCGATTCCCGGCGAAGGCGGTTGCATATTTTTCATCTTTTCTGCTTCCAAAAAAAAATCTTAATGACTCTACAAGTGGGGCCCGAACTAAAAGAGTTGTGGTTGATGATTCTATGCACCCAGACTAGGTCCCCTAAAACCCTAGTCGCCCTTTAAAAAGGGGTGTATATAAGGTACTTCTCCCACTTCCCTAGCGTGATTTCGTGGTGTAGTGGTTTTGCACGCTGGGCCGTTATTCCAGAGGTCCGTGTTTCGATTCCCGGCAAAGGCGGTTGCATATTTTTCATCTTTTCTGTTTCCAAATATCCTATTGACTCGACAAACGTATAGTTTTATGATGGCAACGAAATATTAATTATTTCATGCATTTAAAATTTCATTAATTTTATTTCATTCATTTTTTTACCTGTGAGATTTTGGCGTGAGATCTCTCTCTATATATATCTGTATCTATCTTTCTCTCTCTGTTTCTATAGCTATATATATATATATTGCTTCTGTATAGTATATCAGTAATATTGCCATACATTGCTGCAATTCAGTAAACTGAGTTCACTTAAATATTTACAGGATAGATGCAACGGGATTCGATTTGATGTCTGTTGTCCAAAATATTTCTTTGGTTTCTAGAGTGTGCTGATTTAGTTAGCAATAACGTAAATTAGTATAATATTCAAATAGCACTTAAATTTAAATGTATGTTATTAAATTATGAATGTTAAGCAATTCATTTCAGAGCAACATTTTGATGCATTTTCTCTACTTTAATATCCAGAAGTATATTTGCAAATTTTACTTTAAATTTCCTTTTATAATTTTCTAATTTGTTTTAAATGTTAATTTAGAATTTATTAAATAACCAAATATTATAAATATTGTGCTTTTGAAGCTTTGGTAGAGTTATAAGGTATTTCTCACGCCTTCTTAGTATGGCTCTTGTATGTGGTGTAATGGTCAACACACTTGGCGCGTATTCGAGAGGCCCGAGGCTCGCGTCCTGGCAAGGGTATTGCTCATTTTTCATATCTCCTGTTTTGAAATAACCTATTTCTACAGAGTTTTACCTAATGTGGTAGAAATAAAGATGCTTTTATTTAGTTTTTTTCAGTAGCAGTCAAGCATAATTATATTAAAGGAAAATAATGTTCTCATAAATGTATTCAGTAAGATGAGTTTAGCTTTGTAAAGGAGAGACACTTTTGTGCCTTTTCACGAAGTTCATAGATTTCTCAATAGAATGAAACTAAAAATGTGGTTGAATTGGCCTAGTACGAAATTTGTTTATCACATTCCTTTATACCTAAAGCCAGAACCTGTAGAAACATTAGATTATTTTAAAGCAGAGGGATCAAAAATTAGCAACGCCCTCACCGGGACTCGAACGAGTCTATCGAATCCGCGTAGAGCGTGCTGACGATTACACCACGAAGGCATGCTAAGAAGGCGTGAGAAATACTTTATATACTCCCCCCTTTTAAAGGGAGACTGGAGATTAGGGGACCCAATCGCCAAATCATGGTGATGGAGAATCATCATCCACCACTTTTTTACAGTTTGGGAGCCACTGTAGAGTCATCGAAACAGAATTTTGCTTTATTATAGATCTGAAAGTAGAATGCTTTCCTTTCTTACAATAAAGATTATTTTAATAGATCAAGCGATTTACAAACTTAGTAAAATATTATTTTTATCATTTTCAATAAATACTCTGAAAGGAATGTTTAAGGGTTCCCTCTAGGATTTTTAGCTGCACATTTCTTGTCTCTAGCGTTTGAGCAAATCTAGCTCAGTCAATAGAATACTGTGTTTAAATAATAACATATTAAATACTTTAAGAATTAGTACACTAAAATTAAATTCATAACGCCATTATACACTCTGAATTAATAGACAATACTACTCTACATATTGTTGCGTGCGTACGGGTTCGTAATAGACGGAATGCACACAGGTCCGATAATAGGTTAATAAAATTTATTTAATTAATAAAAGCACTTCAAAGTTCAGGAATTTTCCATAGAAATTCTCGTACAGGTGTTCACAGTATCACAGATTACAATCAATAGTTACGCTACTACTACTAAGAACGTTAAACACAAGGCAATGCAAAGGGCATCTAAAGAGAAAGCTAACTCGGATATATTTTAATTAACACGGAGCTACCGACTCATATAACAACAACTAAGCAAATGAGAGCAGACGCTCTCTGTTGAAAACTCTTTGAAAAATAGTTTCCAACTATAGTTTCCAAATATCTTGGAGGCCGGTTGAAAACACTTTGAAAAACAGTTTCCAACCGGCCTCCGAGATATTTCTAGTACTTACTTTCTGATTCTCGAAATTACTGGAAAGCAATATGAGATTAGAATTACGGTTACAGCTAATATAGTGGTCACTTACATTTATTCAATTTCAATACATATTACGGTGATACGGGGACCAGACCAAAATGTCATCAAGTGGTTGCCAAATTTGGTGACTCTTGGTGATTTCTCTCCAAATTTGGCGAAAAATACGTCATTAAAACGGTTGTCAGCTTGGCGATAATTTTTGATTTTCCGGCATAGCTTTCCTTTAAAATTTGTTTCGCGTTACGTTACTCAGAAAAATACAACAATTTCACATATTGTTGCATTAAAGTTAATTATCTAAGTACAAAATTCGTAACAATATTAAGGCAAAATAAGAAAGAAGCAAAATGCGTGTAAATATCTCTCGGTCAGTTGATTTGGGTGTACATTTTTTGCTAAAGCTGCTCTTAAACGGAATCTCGTAGTCCAAAATACTTCAAATTTAACGATTTGGTTTGTTTAGAAATTTAAAGCTGTAGAAATGTGTTTTTACCCTCCACTCTAAGTGCCAAGAGAGGCATAACAAAAAATAATAAGTAGATTAATTAACAATGAATTACATCATAATCGATAAGTTAACATTGATAAGTTGCATCGATCCATAGATCATCGGCAATTAGTAAATGTATAAGATCATAGATCATCTGAACTTGAGCAACCCTACTAAACTAGTGCAAGTTATCGCTATGTCTGAAATAGTACGGTAAAGACTTGCAAAGGTTTTAAGCAGCCATTCCATTAAACTGAACTTTTAACAAATCAGGCACAATGTGAGCAACAGCTAAACCACTACTTTTCGTAATGTGAAATAAGCAGTAGCTGGTACTCAAATTTAAGAGTTTATAATGTAATCTAAGACTGCACAACCAAATACTAAGCTACAAGGTGGCTCAAATAATTTACAGGTGCATAAGTTTAAAGTAATATTGCGAGAGAATGCAAAGCCCAGATAGTTACATTTAGACCCTGGCAAAATCTAACAACGCAATGCGAGTGCCAGAAACTCTCTTTGCCTAAGATTCAGGACCTTCAGCTTAAATGCACTTAAAAATTTATTTGCATTCTGGTGAAAAATACGTTAAGAAGAAATTATAGTAAAGGTCAAAATCATAATGACTGGTTAGTTTAACGTAAGAAACTTACAAATTAATGGTGTAATTTATCACTTTCACGAAGACTAGAATACTGTTTAAAAAAGAGGTCCCATATCTTAACTCATTGATGATACCGTAAACTTTTGCTTTGTTATTTACCCTTATTTTAGTGAGATATAGTCAAAAAGGTCATGTATACTTACTATAATAAAATGTGCACAATTTTTCTTCCTGGTAAGGGAGTAATTATCTCCTCCTCTATCAGGAAGTAGTAAGTATCCTTTACCAGTAGATAGGATGGAAAAGCATGTTATCTATGCCGTTACCCTTATCATTTGACGTCGATTTGCAATGAAAAAGAATAGTGAATTAAATTTTTACTTGCATTAGATGCAAATGAAAACGTAAATAATAGTGCTCCAAACAGCAAAAGAATGAAAAAAAAAACGTAACTTGAGCATGGAAGAATAAAACAATTCAAAATGTAATATGTAAATGCAAAAGAATATTGAGAATCCAAATTTTGTTGCAAAAGAATATTGGAAATGTAGACCTTGTTGTAAAAGAAAAAAAAATGCCAAGTGACTGTAAAACAGTCTTAACCAAAGACATTTTAAATTTTATTTTAATGTTTAGCTCATATATTTTTATTTTTGCATTAGCTTTGTCAGAATTAGATCTTTCATCATTTGACGTCGATTTCTCCAGTAATATTCCAATTTCCTAGTATCAGGCACATTCATTTGCTTGATTTTGTTACATTATACACATATACATTTAAGATTTTACTTATTTAGTTTAAAATGTTAGTCTGGATCCAAATTTTAATTTTTAAATTAGTTCACACCCTTTTAATTTTGATAACTATTAGACTATTGATAATATTACCTTGCTTTGATTATTGAAGTCATTATAAAGTTAATGTCAAAATTATCGTTTTATAAAAAAGTACATCCTACGAAAGGACGAGCAGTTGCAAACAATACCCGGCATTCGAACCCGTGCCCTACGGTACAGCAGTAGGCTCCTCTAACCACTACACCCTCTGGGCGGATTCTATGAGTTTATGAAACGTAAAGCAAATTATCAATCGAAATTACTATTTTATAAATCAAATGTTATGCTTGTATAGTGACTTTATCTATTATTTTTATCTTTTGAAGTGAATCCCACAGACGTCCAGATTACGACAGCTCAAGCTCCTGTCTCTGCAGGAGAAAGAGTAGAGGTCATTTGTCAAAGCAAAGGTTCCAGACCACCAGCCAAAATCACATGGTGGAAAGACGGTAAAAATCTCAAACGCTATACTACAGACGAAGTATCGGATGATGTTACAACAAGTAAACTATTCCTCACGCCATCTAGTGAAGACAACGACAAAATTTTGACATGCCGAGCGGAGAATCCTGAAAATGCCGACAGTGCCTTAGAAGATCATTGGATACTCAATGTATACTGTAAGTATTCCAAGTTTACTCATTTGAAAAAAAAAAGTTGAATATACACTAATGCCTTTAATGAATGGCTCAGAACGTTCAATATCACTTTTGATGAATGGAAAGGAATATTCCGTATTTTCGCAGAAATTTTGATAGAAACGTATTGCGCTCTTTATTTTTTGCTGTATTACATGTTAGAGGAAAAGGAAGTATACATATAGTTAAACAAAAGATGAACAATGGGATTCATAGAATGTTGAACACAAATTATTATTGTAGCGGTGTGATATCACAACCGCTCTTGTAGACATCACAACATCTCTCCGTATATTTGATTAAGCTGTAAAATAAATCCTGTCAGATTATAACTTATCGTCTGTGTGACGCCATGATGTTTCAGGAAAGGGAATGGACTGCAGCACACTGTATTTTATTCGAAGTTGTATTAACGGTGTAATTTATAATTTTCACAAAATTTTCACAAACACTTTGGGCAAAATGTTCAAGAAAATAAGTCTTTAATTAGCATTTATGAAACAATCTCATATGATTCATCACTTTAAATACAATATGAGTTTGATATTTGAAGAGAAGAATATGAGTTTGATATTTATAAGCCATTATTAAAGCTACGGGTTCTTTGTTTGCTATAGCTGTTTGCCTCATCATGGGCTTTAGATGCGTAAAAGCATCAAATAAAATTTTATCACCGCCATTTTGAGGCTGTTATAAAATGTTTAAATATCTATAAAAGATATATATATATTGGACAAATATATATATATTGGACAAATATATATATATAATACAAAAAGAGTTTCAGCGTCTTAATAACGTGGGTCCAGTTACCCGCGATTTTTGGTTTATGTGCTAGCAAGTGCAAGAAACCTCTCGCCAAAACTAAACTCGGTTTGCGGAATAAGTTGCTTGCTGATTCATTGACAAAATGACTCCTTATCTCACTTAAACTCCACCTAATCTTCATCATGATAAAATTGACGAAAGAGATAGAGGTTGTAGAAAAGAATTAACATAAAAATAACGTGTTATCAAAAGTATACCTTAAAGTGCGTTGAAGGTGCTTGGGGGTGAATAAGTGATATTAGCTCGTCTCAGAATAATATGTGAGGCAAACTTCATACAAAGCTGAAACTTAAAGTCTTAAACTCAAGTATTTTTTTTTCTTTTAACAAACGTATAATTGTCTTATTGAACTGATTCTTTTAATATCGAGTTACGCGTATAAGACTGACATAGTTTAGCAATTTTAAATAACTAATCTTATGATTTTGCTATTTTTCCTAAGATAGTAAATAAGATTTATAAGATGTCTGCCTTAAGAAGCGCCTGAAATGATACTAATAGTTAAGTAAAGAAATTTATGTATCAGTTATTTTTACTTTGATAGAACAGTGAGAATTTAAAAATAGAACTTAATAATTAAGCTCTATTAAGCCATTTAAAAATAACCTTATATGTCGGTAAATATGAAAGTACCGTTTTCAAGAAACAAACCTTTAGTACTCCAGCAATCGGTCTCAGAACATTATGTCTCGCTGAAAAGAAAGATACCCAAAACGGACAAAATCAAATTACCATATTCATTTAATTATCGGAGACAATAGAATGTGCTTCCGCAAATTAACCTGTTGAGTTCTGCACTGAATACAAAATGTCATCTGCACAAGAGAATGGACGACGTGGATTCCACCCCATGGCGTAAGAATGATCCACAAAGAATTATTCGTCCCAACACGATATTTTAGCTTTTATCTGCATGACATTCCCATTCTTATTTGGAACAGATTTCCTTATTATCTGTTCTGGTCACGCAGCGTGTTGGATAGCGATGTTCAGCATAACAATTCGTAGAAAGCTAAATAATGAGATAGGCTTAAACGAATTCGTTTTCTTATTTCTCTATTGATTTTCCTTGTTAAGTTCTATTTCAAGAGCATTTCATTCAGTTTCTTTTTAAATTAAAAGTTATTGTATTCCCTGCAAACGAAATATATTTTGCATTACGTTTACTACAGAGAGGAAAATGCTGATGTATATTTAACTCACTGGTTTTCCATTTTTTAAATGACAGCTAATTTCGCCTGTAAGAGCAAACTATACTTTCTGGTAATAAAACGCCAGCTTATAGTGGGAAATCAAACATCATACTGCATTATCTATACTTAACTAATACAACATAATCTATATCGAGAGCCTCAATAAGAAAAATGCAGTAATAAAATTCATAAAAATCCTAATTTTACAATTTAATTCCTGGATATAGCATTATTCATCAATTCCTATACATACATCTACCAAAATAAGTTATTAAATTTCCACATAAATAGCATATTGATCTTATGTCAGTAATGGGTAAATAAATAAAAAATTCATAACTGATTATTTCTGGTCCCTTAAACATTCCTATAACATCGGAAAGAAACAGTTAACATAGTGATCTACAGATAGTGAAATAAATTTTCTCTAATACTTCTGAGATACAAAATTGATAAACTTCACTTTCTCATCGTTAATCATTTTTGTTCGTTGTTGTTGTATTTTATTATGGCAAAGCACACTAGGGCTATCTGCTTAAGGGGAGGGATGCCTTCGTGGAGGACTTTCTAAGGGAAACTGGCTCGTATACACGTTACCATGGGAAAAAACCAAGAAACACCATGCGCCCGCCCGTTCGCGGGATTCGAACGTCGAACCGAACTACCAGTGTTCAGCGCTCTCCGCTCGGCCGCTGGTGGGCCCATTTTTGTTCGATAATGAACGGTGAGAACATGTTTTCAACTGTAATCACTTTAGAATCATACAATAAACGTTTAATTAAAATTATTCAAAGTGTTTCTTATCTATGAATACATACCAATTTCACTTTAAAAATTTAATTTCCATACAGGTTTTCAGTTTTTCTCATAATTCATATTTATTTTATTTTTGTTGTTTTCGGTATATGGTATTCCTATTGTTGCTTCTTTTTTATTATCAACTTTACTCTACTGTGTCTATCTATGCGATGCATTCTGGCAAAACCTTTCAAAAACCACTTCTTTCCCTACGGATTTAAGAGAAATGAGTGTCAGTTTTCCAACAAAATCTAAATATCTTTTTACTAAAATAACACAAGTTTAACTGCGATCTTCTAACTCGAAATCTCTTGAGTATTGGGACACCTTTTAAGTAAGCTAAACTTATATTTTCTAGTTTAGTTTTAAAAAGCGGCCCAAGTGCTACGAAGAGTAGTTAATTCCTATATGATGACAGTTATATGAAAATTATGTAGGTCGTTGCATATTAATGAAGGCGTTAACTGCCACTGCATTCATAAAAATTTAGAACTCTTTATTAAGTACTACCGAATGTTTCATTTTGCTTAATAAGCTGACTTACCCTTTTAATTTCACTAAAGATAGTTTATAGTTATTATTTTCTTCTTATAAATATCCATTGCTGGGGTGGATAAACCCATTTGACGTTTTCTTTCTGTTAACCGTTGACACTCCCAAGAATGTTATTTTTTCATATATTAACTCTTAAGCAATGTAGCTAATTTTATATCGCAGGTAAAAAAAAAATCAAAATTATTTTCAATGACTTAAGTAATGTTTTAATCCTTTTAAGAAAGATTACAAATGTCGACTTGTACATAGTAGAAACTGTATTATAAAGCCTCTCATT